CCTCTGAAGTGTGGGACGTCCTCTTCTCAGCTACAAAGGGTTAGCCTGCCCCATCCACTGACACATGGACTGATGGGCACATATGACACCATTGCTGAGACTCCAACTGTAGTTGGAGCTAAAATGTTGGAAGGATCGGGGAGCCGCCCAAAAGAGTATAAATTCTCCTGGAAAATGGAGGCACCAGAAATGTCTATTATCTCTCTCCCTGCCCGAGTACGGCCTCTGCCTTTCTGGCTACAGACGGGGCCCTGCAGAATCTGGGGGTGTTTGAATGAGTGAGGAATGGAGGTTTCAGGCCTGCACTGAGACTGCTTTTGTCCACGGACAAAGTCATATTTAAGGTTTCAACTGACATTGCCTATTCAGTGACTTTGGCAATAACTCTTAATTCTCTGAAAGGTCATACCTTCTTAACCATGGCTGGCTAAGAAGCGCCATGCTGGGGTCTCAGTTATAGAGCAGGGGAAATAGTATGACCCAGAGTATCCACACAGATCAGAAGGAGGACTCTGTCACATGGGGAAAAGGACAATTGTGCAGAAAGAGAAGAGACATCCCGAGGAAGGACACTGGGGACTCACCTGGCCTGGGTGTCGACTGGGACTGGGCAGCTGTGAGAAGGAGGAGATCAGGTTAGATGAATACACAGAAGCTGGAAAAACTGTAACAAAGGTGGAAGGAACTGGGAAAGTCTGACACTCAGTCCATCCTAGCCCCCTAACGCAGAGGGCGGGGCAGCACCATGCATGTCCCCACAGAGATGCTCCTTGGAAGGCATCTGGGCAGATTGTGTCCACTACTGCCAGCTCCAAAGTGATAAACTTTGTGTCTGCCTGTACTAATCAGGTTGACATAAAACCAACCCTCTCCCTTGCACGTCTTAGCAGTTCCTGAGTCAGCAAGGAAGAAGAGGCCATTCAAGCCAAAGTCCCGCCTATGATCTTCTAGCCCAGCCTACAGGCATTCATAACAAGGCTTTACCTAGCAGGCGTCATAGGGGCTGCCCACCCCACACCAGACCTGCTGCACACGCAAGACTGCAGTGCTCCGGAGGGAATTGCAGTCAGGCATTCACACTCCCAAAACCCAGGCCAGACACCAACGGACACAGATCTACACTCCCAACCTTGTGTCTCCATCCTGATGCCTCCTTGTTGGGCCTCAGCAGAAAACCTCCTCTTCTCAGCAGAAGACTTTGGTTCTGGGCTCCTCCCAGTGAGACAGTCCCTCTGCCAATCCCCCTATATGTGCTTCATCTGCCTCACCCTCACCCGAACCTTTCAGTAGGAGAAAGATGGAACCCTGGAGAGCCAGTGTGCAATAGTTTGGACGCTTGTCCTATCCAGGTGTCATGTTGCAATTGGATCCCCAAGTATAAAGGTGAGGCCTGATACACCCTGTTGGGTCACAGAGGCCAACCCATCATGAACACCTTAGTGCCCTCCACGGTCAGGGTTGAGGTCTTCTCTTAGTTCCTAGCTAGAGCTGCTGGTTGAAAAGAGCCTGGGCCCTCCCTCTTGCTCTCTCTTGCTTCCTCTGTGACCTCTGCCCAGAACAGCTCCCCATTCCCTTCTACCAGGAGTGCAAGCAGCCTGAGGCCCTCAGCAGAAGCCAAGCAGATGCCTGCACCATGCTCCTATGCAGCTGCAAGGCCACAGCCCAAATCAACCTCTTTCTTCATGAATAACCAGGCCCCGGCTATTCCCTTCCAACCGCACTAAAAGACAAAGGTCCAGCGCTTTCCTCTTCTCTCACTCCTTGAGCTGCCTCAGTAGGTGAACAAAGACATGACCCTTATTTCAATTTGGTCCATTGTCCACTCTGACCTACCCAATACCTGGCAATGTGGCAATGACTTATGCTGTTTCCTAGCAGAGAACTAAGGAGATATCAGAAATACAGGAAGAGTAGGAAAAGGTCTGAGTGAGATTAGAACAGAATGAGACCTCGCTTCCTGACCACACTCCACCCCAACAGAGGGAGCCCAAAGCCTTGGAGACCCACCTGAGCAGATGACCCCAGCATCTTCACTGTGCTGACAGTTATGGAAGAGCCAGCCACTGTGGGGACAGCTCCACAGGTAGGACTCGTGTCCTGAGCAGCGCACATCATCCAGGACGATGGGTCCATAGCCTTGACCAAACCGGGCATTTCCTGGGGCCGACATGGCCCAGCCACAGCCCAGCTGCCTGCAGACCACATTGGCATCACTGACGTCCCAGCTGTCATCACACACAGTGCCCCAGGAGCCTCGGTAGAGGACCTCCACTCGGCCCTGACACCTGTCACCTCCATTCACCAGCCTGAGGGCCAAACTGGATTCAGATCCTACAGGGGAACACAAGAACCCTTTATTCATCCCAATTAGTAGGTCAGGAATCTAAGGCACGTTCCATACTCAGGGCACTTCCTAGTGGCCAAAGTCACCTGGGCTGGCAGTCATGATTGCATATGACTGCAACCAGAGTTTCAGCTGCATCATAGTGGAAGGAGAGGGGATACCCTATTCTGCCCAGGTTTATGGAGGCTCAAGTTTTGGGGAAGCGTCTTTGATCCCAGTGGAGGTGACAGGAATGGACCCCCACTGCCTACTCTGGGTACACACAGCACTGAGCTCCACAGCTCCAGAGGGCAGACCCATGCCGTCCCCATGTTCAAGAGTTTAGTGGCACCCATGTGGTCCTCTCTGGCTTCTAGAAAATTGCCAGGTATGGCAAGGCCTTGGCCAGAGAGCTGCATGGACAGGAACTTCCACCCAACCTTACAGGTCAGCAGTGCATGGCCAGAGGGCCAGGAACGAGGTCCCAGTAGGATTAGGAAGCCCTCCAGGGCTTGTTCCCAGCACCTGGATGAGGATCTTTCCTGACCACTTGGAACGGGATCCCATGGAAGACAGGTCACCAGCAACCTCAACCTCCAACATCAGACCCAAGACTGGCCTCCCAGAGACTCCACCTTCCTCCCATGCAACCCACAGGGACGTCAACAAGAGAGGGGGCCACCATGAGCCTCATCCTGTCATTTACAGATAAAACATTTGTCCAGAGGTAGAGAGTGAGCCCTAGGGAGGGGTGAGAGGGTTATTTACCTTCTGCCGTTGCAGGTAAGTTGGTGGTTGGCCACGTGTCTGTAAATTGCAACAAACACAAAGGCTAGAATTAAACTTGGGGTGCAAAGCTTCTAAAGGAAAGGCCTCAGGACAAGGCAAGTATCATGAAAACTACTCCATTTCTGGTTCCTGCCACTTGCTCCCCATGTGTCTGCCCAAGTCTTCAGTCCAGTGAGCACAGCCAGGGACAGAGGCCTCACTGGAGACTAGTCTGATCCCTCCTACCTCTGAAGTGTGGGACGTCCTCTTCTCAGCTACAAAGGGTTAGCCTGCCCCATCCACTGACACATGGACTGATGGGCACATATGA